GCCCACATTTTCGAGTTCACCCAGTGTAAATTTTTCGAAAAATTGAAAAAATCGAAAAAAAGGTTTTGCGCCAACTGAAATCTAACTAAGAAGTAGTTGACACATTGCCAAGACTCTGGTACCGTTGGAAAGGGAATCAATAGGGCTACAAAAACTGCTTAGTAACCCACTCCCTTCGACCCCATTGGGGCTCCCAAAAATGGGCTCAATTTATAAAAAGTAAAAAACACGGTGTTTTTTAACATGTTTTTTTCGCATCAAAAGATGGCCCATGTCGCGCCGCTTCAGATTAGAAATTCAAATTCCGTGTATTAACCATTCAATTTTTTGTATTTGGCCTCGGAAAGTAGATCATCAAAGGAATGGAATCGTTAATCCGGTTAATGCTCGAATTCATAGGATTTGCTTCCAAACATCGACAATAAAAAAAACAGCAATTTGCTGTCAGAAAAAAAGTCAGAGTAAACAAAACTGGCTAGATTTAAATTTGAGTTATTGTGTCAATGTAATATCCACAGAAATTTGAACATATTTTATTTTTCGATCTATTGACTACATTTTCTGGTTCTTAACAAATATCTGCATCGATCGACGCTGGTGCATAAGACACAACTGCTGAACTCTTCTTAGTCACGCCAATCATTTCCAAGAATACCATCATGGCAAAGTAAAAGTAAACAATACTGATTACTGAAATTGAAATAATTGACAAGAATTAACACCTGGAATTAAAATCATTCTTTTTTCTTAATATTAAGAAGATCTCAAACTTTTGAGCTTTAAGGTTTCTTCACTTTCTAAGAGCTCAAATGTGATCGAAAATAATCCTGTGTATTTCATATGGAAAATGTCACTTGAAATCACAATTGTGCTCGTAGGTAATAGAACCCAAATTCCTTTGGGTGCATCACATTCGATTCTCAATGGAAGCCGTTTTCGATTTGATTTCAAAAGCCTCAATAAGTTGATGAATCTTCGAGTTACCTATTGCACAAAAGCCCCCAATAGGTGTGAATACAATCGTTAAAATCTCTCCAACAATGCTGCTACTAGAGAACAATCTGCCGTTTGAAGAATGTGCATTCAGTTTATAATGAAAACAAAATATAAGTTTAATAACAAATTACTTGATTAGAAACCAGACAAATGTCCAACATAGGCAGTAGAAAAATTGGATAATCCAACAAATCAGAGCCGGCACTAGCAACAGAGATCTTTCCTATAAAATAAAATATATTTACCATTTAATTTATTGTGTTTAAAATAATAAGATCAGTTTTGAGTTAACTTACATAAATAATTCCAATTTGCCATAAAATACACATGATCAAAGTTATGACTGAAATGATTCAAATACGTATTGAACGGAATAATGCTTTATTTGCTTTGGTCAAAATTGTTCAACGTTATGCTAGATCTAGATAAGATAAGATATTGAACATACCCACCGCGATAGTCTCGATCATTAAACGTCAAACCAACAACGCCACACATTTTGACGGGAACTACATTGATGGGTGTATTCAATGCAGTGTCAAACATAGTCGTCATTGTGTTGTGTGGTGAAATAATAATTGAACCGTTGCGACAAACAAATTCCCTCAGAATATTTTAGTTTCAAAGTGCAACATGAAATTTTTTTATATAGAGTTTACAACAACAACTCCACATGAAAAAAACTTCATGTTGCACTTTAAAACTAAAATATTCTGAGGGAATTTGTTTGTCGCAATGGTTCAATTATTATTTGAATTTCAAACAAATAAAAATGTTTCGATTCTGCCAAATAAAATTGTGCAAATATGCCGCTGGCACCGAAGACAAAAAAATGGCTTTCTTTCGGTAGATTAAACCCGTATTTAAAAAAATTGTTTTTTTTAAATTTTCAATCGATATGTATGGAAGAAAATTACGGTTTTATATGATATATTGGAGTTTACATAATTAAAAAAAACACAAAATGTTAAATTCAGAATATAAACTGGTTCGTGGCAGAATTGTTTTTTTTTTATTTTGCGGACCATACTGAGAAAACGCTTGCGTTCGAACAGAAATCTACACTGAAACAGAAGTCGATTTGACATTAGCTGTCAAACCGGCAAGATGAATAAGTGGGTTTGTAAAGTGAGCGCGTTCACATGGAGTCAGCAGGTTTTGGACGAATTTCATTTTGCAAATGATGTTGTTGTTAGTGTAATGATACCCCCGCGAACATACTGAACATCCAAAAAATGACATTAAATAAAACACTCAGGGTGTTGGCACCATATGCTAGGAAAAAATCTATACCAATTGTGTTGAATATAACTCCGATAGCACCCAATAATTGGCTATAAACGCTATTATATACATCCTTGATATTTTCAGATTTTTTTTAGAGTAAACACTTCGATTAGGGGCCCAAAAAATATAATTTTCTATTAGAATTGATGAAAAAAATTGAAATTTCTTATCAAAAGCAGTCAATGACAGATAGCTGAGGATATATGCTGAGTATAGCAAGCTGAGATTGGTACATTTAAATTTTGTGACTTCCCTGCCATGCAAATTCATGTGATAAGATGAATTTATGAGAGGAAATTTCATGGAAAGCATCGAAAAATGTGTACCAGATTCATCTTATCACATGAATTTGCATGGCAGGGAAGTCACAAAATCCAAATGTACCAATCTCAGCTTGCTGAGTTCCTATGCTCAGCATATATCCTCAGCTATCTCAGATAGCCTATCTGTCATTGACTGATCAAAAGTGAAGAGTGAGTAGACGCTCCTTCACATGCAATTTTCCCAGAGAAAACTACGTTTTTTTGTACGAATTCTCCGTTCATTCGTTGATATTCTTTCTAAATTTCAACGCAATATCTCCCAATTATTTTCATTTCATTCAGAAATAATTTCAAAAATGATACAAATACCCGGCACGGGACCATTCGAAATGTAAACAGTGTGGATTAATGCGGTTGTCGAATCTGTTCATGTCGCTATTAATTTCGCCAATTGTGCCAATTGAATCGACCGGGTCGAACTGAAACTGTGCAAAAATGTTTGTGCTCAATTGATGAATGAACGCTGCTTGTGTGTGACTATAATAAAATCAACAACGCACGCTCTCGCATCATAAATTTTCTAGTCTCATTCAGCAATCACACAAATTCTCGCCTGCGCCAATAAGCGCGCTAAAAAAGCAAAGATCAACTTACATTGACTCTGATTGAATGTGATCTCTCCTCGAAAATCCTTTGTTCACCAATTCCGTTTCGTTTTGCCACTTTTTTTTCGTATCAATTTTCTTTCCTCTTGGAAATTCGTGTTTCGTTTTGATTCGTAAATAATTTCACACACTTACTTAACACAAAAATTACACTAAATTTTCACAACACAAAAGACCCAAATGAAATGCACACAAAAACTACCGAAGAACCGAGTTTAAAATTATAATTTGAAGAAAAAAACGGCGAGTTTTTTTCCTTCGTCGAGAGAATTGTTTTTAACGAGGCCAACAGATTGGATCGTTGGTGCCCTTACCAATGTTCGAGAACGACTGACGATTTTTCGGTCGATTCTTAATGCAACGAACGTGATGCGCATACTCCGAATGATGATCGGAGCCGCAGACAATAGGCACAACGAACAAAAATATAACAGCAATGAGAGAAATTGGCTACACGACGCGCAATCAAACATAAATAGCCATTGACTTTTATTAAAGCATTTTTTTCGCGGAACAAACTTCGAGAACTGAGGCATATGGGTAACAAAGATGAGCAAAATATACGCAATTCAAGGAATACACTCCCCGAAATAATTAATGAGCTCCGATTCATGTGTGGGAAAAAGTCGGAAAATTTCACTAAAGGTGATTGTAAATGGATACAAAACCAACTGATATTTAAAGGATGGAACTAAATACAAAATTTTATGCAAAAAAATCGGTAAAAGTTCTTGGCATTCTGGCCAAAATAAGCAAAATGGCCGCCATAACCTCAAAAAAAATCACGGAGTGGCCATTTTTTTTGGACATTTTTGAAATAATTTCAAATATTTTCACTAATTTTGTATTGAACATAATAAAATCGTCAATGAAGATTGCGTTGAGGAAGTTCTTAGAAATCAACAATACACAGTAAGCAAATTCTACCGATCATAAATCAGTACCAACATTGGCCAAAATTATAGGTGCAAGAAAATGTGCATAAAACTACTTTTTGGAATGAAAATATTTTGTATGATTGTTTTTTGGATGCGGATACGTTGAATACAAACTTTCAATATGATTTTGGAGAATATTAGCATGATTTAATTACTTAAGGAAGGGTTTCTACACACACGGAAGAAAGGTTTAAATATTCGCTACGCCCAATTTTTTTTCCTTGAAAAAAACCAAAATTTGAGATTTCTCAGACAAAATTTATTTTTCGAACCTCCATAATGTATGTAAAATGGAGGCGCCGAAATAAATTTTGTCTGAGAAATCTCAAATTTTGGTTTTTTTCAAGGAAAAAAAATTGGGCGTAGCGAATATCTAAACCTTTCTTCCGTGTGTGTATGAACGCCGATTTGACGAAGAATCTGTAAAGTTGTTGTAAACAGTAGAAATGTCTTATCAAATGTGTAAGACACCTTAAAATATTTTCATCACATCCAGCATTGACAATTTTATTATGTTCAATACAAAATTAGTGAAAATATTTGAAATTATTTCAAAAATGTCCAAAAAAATGGCCACTTTGTGATTTTTTTTGAGGTTATGGCGGCCATTTTGCTTATTTTGGCCAGAATGCCAAGAACTTTTACCGATTTTTTTGCATAATATTTTGTATTTAGTTCCATCCTTTAAATATCAGTTGGTTTTGTATCCATTTACAATCACCTTTAGTGGAATTTTCTGACTTTTTCCCACACATGAATCGGAGCTCATATGCTATGGCCGATTGGCCGTTTTCAGGGTGTCCAAAACCTTTACGAATAATTGTAAAAATGCAGAAATGCTCTAAAGAGCACCCAAAACAATAAATAATAATAATACAAATCAGAAACATATCAATAGTCCGCATTTTTTGCATAAAACTGTGGGTGCGTCTATAATTATTTCGCACTTTCATCACATCAAAAACAGAAAAATCACAAAAAAATAGGAAATATGATATCCTTTTGGGTAAATCTTTTTGTGATGTATTCGTAAACGGTCCTTAGTAAAACAATATAATAAAACTGCGACAATATTTGCGTTTATTTTTATGAAAACTGAAAAAATGAGAGTGCGGCTATAATTATTTCGGGGAGTGTAGTGAACAAAGTTTGTTCAAGAAACTAGACAGTCACATATTTGTAAGCGAGAATTTCTGAAATGTTCTGAATCATTTGTATGATAGATCAACCATTTTCAGAATGCTGTAGATCGTATTCTCTACTTTCGAAGATCTTTTAATAGGAAAAAAATATAGTTAAATTCTACATTTTTTCCTTCGTTTGAAAATTTGTTTACTTTATCACCGCTTCGTGTTTTTCACGGAAATTCATCTCCTCTTCAACATTCGTTGCCTCATAAACAATTCAATATGCATAGGTTTCATCGATGCTTCGTTTCTTGATTTGTTTGCAAACATTCACATTTCAATTGAAGTTGATTGAAATGAACGCAAAAAGGTGTGCATAAACAAGCCAAAACTGGTTTATATGTCAAGCAACATCTGTTTCATTGAAACAAGAGGTGTGTCTCTGTGAGAATAATCGCACTGAAATGGATAACAACAAATAACGAGAGAATAATTGCACAAGACCAAAAATGCATAAAAAAATATTTTGAAAAAATCGATTTTCACTCTATTTCTACATAACATGAGGATATGTTTGCCACATCTTATCATCGTTAGATGGGATAACGAATTTGGTTGAATATCAACCAACTTCGATGCGAAATTGAAAATTAACTTGCGATAGCCTTCGGTTATCCTTCTATCTATTTAATATGAGGAGAATGCGTTTGCTAGATCTTATAAAGAATCACACAATTATTTTGACATTACAATTGTAATAGCATTACTTTGGCTCTTCGTTACAATATTAATGTGTTACGGCAAAATGTAAATCTGTAAAATTAATTGACATAAAAAAATAAAAATGCTTGCGGCCTACATCAATTTCCACCAACAAAAATCGAAGCGAACCGATTTTGAGTTCACTGGTGAAATTAACATCGAGTTTTCTGGTAAAATTGACAAAAACGTCTAAAAACGTCTATTAACAAAATGTTTATTGAAAATGACAAAATAAGATCCTGTCTTGATGAGCTCTTCAACGACATCATCATCACCTGAAAAACAATACAGATCAATGAAAAAGATCAAACCAATTTCTTATTTTATGAAAATATATATCCAACTTCACCCTTCATAACAGCTAATGAATTGAAGGCATAAATATTCCAAATTACCATTCTCAGCAGCTAAATGAAGAGGTGTCCGCATACGGCTGTCTCTGAGATCAACTTTAGCTCCATTGCTGATGAGCTTTTCAACGACATCCTTGTTGTTCCGAAGAAACTTTACCTTTAATCACTTGCTAGTACACACACTGTAGAGTGAACAACTTTACATAAAATTTTATATTCATTTTATTTTAAATGAACGGTTTGAGTTACAAATTTGAACTAACTATACTATCATTCTATAGCTCTATTTATACTAATTAAATGCTGATTTAGCAAAATGCAATACGTGTTTTTTAAGAACAATAATAAGCAAAATGCAATACGTGTTTTTAAGAAAAATAATAAGTTACGTGCTTTTTATCTAAATATGAAATGAACTTCGTGCTTCAGAAGTAAACATAAACATCAAATCGCAAGACAATGAGGTGCTTAACATCTAAACATTTCCAAATTGATAGCTAAGCTTTTTCAAGTGTTATTGTTGATTTGTTGACATTTTCAATCACGTACGATCACTTTTTGTGTATTGTCCATTGCTGGACACACACTGCGAAAGGGAATAAAGAATAATAAAGAAAAGACGACCGTTTAGTTTCAACGACAAAAGGCAACTGATTTAATGTAGTGAAGATTGCAAACAGTACACGACAATTGTAATTGGATATTCTCCTTTTCTTAACACTTGTGACCTAAAAAATAGCGCCGACTAATGAAAAAAATCGAACAAATTTCCTGAATAAAAGTAAATAGACAACATTACCCTTAATAGCAGCATAATGGAGAAGTGTCTGATTTAAACATCAACTTTGGCTCCGCCCATGATGAGCATATTAATGATGTCGTTATGGCCTGAAAAATAGCACCGACCAATGTAAAAAATCTAACAAATTTCCTGAGTAAAAATAAATAGACAACATTACCCTTCTCAACAGCATAATGGAGAGGTGTCTTATTAAAATAGTCTTTAACATTAACTTTGGCTCCGTTCGTGATTAGCTTCTTAACGATATCCTTGTGACCTAAAAAATAGCGCCGACCAATGAAAAAAATTGAACAAATTTCCTGAATAAAAATAAATAGACAACATTACCCTTAATAGCAGCATAATGGAGAGGTGTCTGATTTAAAAAGTCTTGAACATCAACTTTGGCTCCTTTCGTGATGAGCATATCAATGATGTCCTTATAACCTGAAAAATAGCACCGACCAATGAAAAAAATCGAACAAATTTCCTGAGTAAAAATAAATAGACAACATTACCCTTAATAGCAGCAAAATGGAGAGGTGTCTGATTATTCCTATCTCCAAAATCAACATTGGTTATTCTTTCTTCGATTAGCCTTTTAACGATATCCTTGTGACCTAAAAAATAGCGCCGACCAATGAAAAAAATCGAACAAATTTCCTGAGTACAAATAAATAGACAACATTACCATTCTCAACAGCATAATGGAGAGGTGTCTGTTTAAAAAAGTCTTCAGCATCAACTTCGGCTTCGTTCGTAATGAGCATATCAATGATATTCTTATGACCTGAAAAATAGCACCGACCAATGAAAAAAATCGAACAAATGTCCTGAATAAAAATAAATAGACAACATTACCCTTCATAGCAGCAAAATGGAGAGGTGTCCGACATGAATTGTCTTTAACATCAACTTTGGCTCCTTTCGCAATTTGCTTTTTAACTTCGGCCAAATTACCTGAAACAGATCAATGAAATAGATTCAATCCATTTCCGATTAAGTTAGCATAAATATCCAAAATTACCATTCTCAGCAGCATCATGAAGAGCTGTTCGGCCGCTTTCGTCTTTTTTGTTTGTTAAAAATTGAAAGAAAAATAGATCAGTGAAGTGAATCGAGAGAAAATGTTTTACATTCGTGGGATGAACTTTGCCACACTTTCTTGTAAAAAATGATAGGGAAATGAGTGTTCCGTTAATTAGAGGACCTCTTCAATTCCACAGAAAAAGGATACGCCATGTCGGAAATACATGTACATTAGAAGTTGAAAAAAAAAATGAAAAATCGACAAAAATCAACTAAAACTCATTTTTGTTGCCGTTAACAATGGCAAAATCATAACCAAAGTGTTTTTGCGTTCAGATGAATAAAATTCCTTCAGATACCAGCCCCTCACCAAATCTTTTTATTCCACACAATCAACAAAAAACACAAAAAAGTACTTTTCATGAAAAAATCTAAATCAAAAAAATTCATCATGAAAAAACTAAACATGTGATAGTTTCTTGGTATAAAAGCGATATGTAATTTCATCAAAACAAAATGTAATTTCATCTGTCTGTCCAAAAACCAAATTTTCTAGCAAATTTTATTAAACGAAAAAAAAATTTAAATTTTTTTTTCCTCCGGCGTGCGACTCGAACTCGAGTCCACACGCTCATGAGTCTGCTTTCCCTTCTACGCGCTAATTTTGCTTTATTCAAAAAGGCGACAATGCTGGTTTTTAACTACAATATTTCATGTTTCATTTTCTTTGGCTCAATACACACCACTTTGTGTTTGTTAAGGGTTAGTTGGTTTTGTTGAGAAAAAAAATTTCGGGTACAAAACAACTGATATCAAATAAAAAAACTTCTTTCGAAGTAATTCCTCGTGACGAGAGCGAACACAAAACAGCTGATATCAATTTTGAAAAATCATTTCGAAGCGATTTGGATTTGCTTTTTTATGCATTCTTCCAACTAATTTCAGAATCGCACCGTAATGATTTTTTAAAATTGATATCAACTGTTTTGTATTCGCTTTCGTCACGAGGAATTACTTCGAAAGAAGTTTTTTTTATTTGATTTCACGTTACACTTAAAAAACGATTCCGTATTGGTGTAGTATTCGGAAAAAAACAACAATACCGTCAGAGACAAATGCTAATTTCGAACTGATAATTACTTGATAGAGAATATGAATAACACAATGACGATTGGAATGGATGATTCAACGCGTTGTTTTTTTCTTAATCTAATTATATGTCAAACGAATGTTAAATTGAACGTTACATTTTGTATTTTCTAAAATGCAACGAATTCGTCATGAATGGTTTGAATCAATTGAGTTTTGGTTATTTTTGCCTGGGCTGGAATTCTAAGTCATTCCACCAAAATCGTTCGGAATTATTTTTTTCGTACACAAGACCATATATTGGAGTGAAAGAGAGATATTCCACTATTTTTCAGCGGGCCACCGGAATTATTTCTCACACAATCCACTCTTCCTTGAGTTATCGGACCACCGGTACTATGCCCGCTGAAAAATAATGGAATCTCTCTCTTTCACTCCAAAATGGTCTTATGTACGAAAAAAATAATTCCGAACGATTTTGATGGAATGACTTAGAATTCCAGCCCTGGATTCTTTGTTAGATTGATGGAAAATGCATCAAACGGTGCTTTGTATGTCGAATAGCACAATGCTACAGCATTTTTACGCCAAACTTCTGTTGCTGATTTTCT